TTGAAGCCCTGATTTTTTTCAGGCTTCTTCTTTCCAATTGCTTAAATTGGAAAATTAACTGCGATGATCATTCTTCACTTTCATATTGATCATTATTGATCTACCTGAAAATATAAATTATAAACTGACAGCCAATTTGTTCATTAGTTTGTTCGTTCATAAATGCATGCATGCATCCATTTTCCAGTACATTTTACTTTTCAAAAAATGTTGCTGATGCTCCTCTTAAGAATGTCAACCATGGGAAATAAATTTGTGGCAAAATTATTCTTTATGTCCAAACTGTTCTGTTTTGTAGCGTGAAGCAGATTTCCTGGAAAGGGTGGCAGCTAGGAGGGCTTCATCATACAGCAAGTTTGAAGACGACTATTACGGTGAAAGCATCAAGACTGTCAGTGATTACAGACAGTGGCTGCGAGAACAACAAAAAAAGCAGACTATGATGGAAAAGTATGACAGTAAAGAACAATCAAAAGAAATGACCACGGAGGCCGCTTGAGCCATGCAAAGTACATGTACAAATGGAATCATAATATCTGGATACTAATGAACATCCCAAGTCTCAAAATTGTTTTGATATACGTAGATTCCTTGACAGAAAAGTCAGAGAAGACTGTATAAGCTGATCAGAAGGTTGTCATCAACCTTCTCTTTGGTGAAGCTGCCAAGCAAAGGACATAACACAAGTGTCTACCATGTTTTGTTGTTCCTACATTCTGACTTGTAATGTTAGTTATCCCACATCAGATGCTGTAGCTCAAATTTTGGAATTTTTCAAATGTGGTATCAAGTTATGATTGTGTAAACAGAGAAAATTAATCGGGTCATATATTTGCTTATTTGGCAGGCCCAGGATATTTTTATCTGGAGCATAAACATGTTCATTAGTTAAGCATTCCTAGCACGGTTTCTTTATAATGTACATCTCAAGAAAAGGCTTGAAAAATGTAAGAGAGGATTGACGAAATAAAGGAATGAGTTTTAGACTGCTACATATCTATTGTGCCTTTTTCATTATAATCAATAAATATCTTGTGCCAAAGCATAGTTAATAGAGGTGAATGGTTATGAAGCCTGGCAAACATCAAAGGAGCTAACAAAAATGCCAAGATTTTTGTTGGAAGGTCCACGACCATGCACAATCTTTTGTTTTGGGCTCATACACTGTGCATGAATTACGTAACCAACATGTTTCTATTGGTTAGTTCCTCAGTACAGAGTAAACAACTATTGTGTTTTGTGCATGGTCAAGGCCAAAATAAGAGAACAAAACATACAACAAGAACTTTGTCAAGTTTCATTACCATTCCCTTCTATTAACTATGGCCAAAGCTTTTATTTATCAATAATTTCAAGATCTGTATTGCAAGGTATGAACCTTGTCTAGTCAGTACAGTATAGTTAGAAACTGATGTTGTTTCACTCTGGAGAAAGGAAACTACAGTTCTCGCCGAGTTCTCGTGAACCATGACNGGGGGGGGGGGGGGTACTCCCCTATATGGGCTATATAGGTATGTGCCGTGGGATAGGGTATGGTTTTTTGAGGTTCTCGATCCTTAAATAGGGTATCATTTATGCCCATGTTGGCATAGTGTTGCAGTGTGATCCTTAGATAGGGTGCCTAAATTGTATCAGCTAAAATTGACCCGTTCAAACTATTTTGAGTTTTTGTTCTTCCCTTGCATAGGGTGTCATTTTTTGGGTTTGGGCCTTAAATAGGGTAACAATTTTCGTTTGATTCATCCTTAAATAGGGTCAGGGTTTAAGACCCTTCGCGGCACACACCTATCCAAAATTTATGGGAGTACCCCCCCGGGCCTGTAGGACAGAAATATTGGTTTAAATAAATATTGGTAAAGTTGCCCATTCTTGAACAAGCTCCAATATATATGTGTAGCATGTACAGAGTCACTATCTGAGTGATATGATAATCATAGACCATCTTACAGGTCTGCAAAGTAAACTAGCCTCTGTATGGAAGTGAATAATTATCTTACTTTGGGTTGATGTTGTGATAATAGAGATTTGAACACTATGTGATAGCATAGTGACATTGTGTAAATAACAGTTTAATACAAAAAGAGGAGAGTCAATTCTTATCTTGTTTCAACAGCATACAAAGGCCTGAGAGACGTGAAGAGTTAAAAAAAGAACTGTTAGATGAGCTAGTGGCGATTTGCAAGTTTCTATCAATGATGTATAATTTAGCTCCTTTTACAAACAGCAAAAATAATTTAGAGACAGCTTTCTCAGACTTTCTGCATTTTAGAGAATATTGACCACCTGTGTATGTACAGTATCTCCTTCGATCCACAAAAAGAGACTACTTGGCGCGGGAGACTGGTAACTAGAATAGCTCGCGTATTGCATTATGGGACACAAGCCTTGCTTTGTCCTCTTTTCTCGCTTTCCGCCATCTTTGTTCACGTGGTTGGAAGGTAAGTCTGAAAATGTCTCAATTTTGGGTATTTTTGCTCCTCCATTTCGTTTTATATTGAGTAGAGGCAATTTTAAATTACAGAGGACTTCAAAAATGGTTAATACAACTGGAGTGAGGCGCGGAACGCGCTATATGTTCTCTCGAGATTTCAGAAAACGGGGTAAGTTTTTTTAAGTAAAATTCATTACTCGATTGTCGTATTTGACATAACCTTAATCTACCGTTTTGAAGTCTTGACGTTGAACTTTCATTAAGTTTTTAAATTCTCTCTAACTGGAACGTGTTGTGTGGTACATAAGTGTGCATTGTGACAAAGTTTTCTTACATTGCAGCGTATATGAACTAAAAGTTAACTAAGGAAATTGGAAGAAGTCTTGCTAGTATCTGTGAAGTTAAATCTTAAGTTCTTAGTATTAAACGCCCGATCAGAGATAAAATTATCGTTAAATTTTACTGCAGTCGATCAGGATTGACGAAATAATGGAACTAACATTTGGATCTTGGCATTGTAAGATTATATGCTAGTTCTTTATAAATCAAAACTATAACAAAATTCGCACATCTGATTGGCTATCAACAGGCCCGATTTTCGCCTGTTACTGGACAGTTGGCATCATTTTGCGTGCACTCTTTCTTGGGCAGACGTACTTGATTGGATTCATTTTCCCATGCATCTTGGTAAAAGCACACTTGACTGTTAAAATTTGTAATTTTTATAATGGCATCTAACTGATGGTTATGGTCATACATGTGGTATTTTGTTATAGTTTTGATTAATTGGTAACAGGACTTCGTGTCATCCAATTCTGTCTGTAAACATACTCTGACTCCGGACTCCACCTAGATGGTCATCTGATTTTTTTTTAATTGCTTGTATGTTTACAGACGGAATTGGGCTACGCTCAATCCTATTACCATTATTAACTGAAAAACAATTTTTTTTGTATGTTAGGTGTTATTCATCTTTCAACTTATCTGAAAAACTACAAAGTTGGTGATATTGTGGACATCAAGGTATATGTGAAGTAAATTAAGAAAAAAAAAAACTAATAGTAATTGAGAGGCAGACACTCTTACTTGTCTATTTGTTAGGGATGTAATTATTTTTGCCTTTGGAGACAGATTATATAGCAGTTTTCTTGTTGAATAATTGACATGTGCAATAAGTGGGTTTCTCATACTGTCTATTGAAAGACCTTTTGCAATGTTATCCTGTAAGGTACTTTATGATTCTTTTTTTTTTTTCCTTAAGGTAAATGGTGCTATCCATAAAGGAATGCCTCACAAAGTTTACCACGGCAAAACTGGTCGCATTTTTAATGTCACTAAGCGTGCTGTTGGAGTTGTAGTGAACAAACAAGTCAAGTAAGTCTCCTTCTGTTAAACCAATTAATATTGCAATAAAACAGAGCTGGAAAATAAAAGTGATAGCCTGCCCAGCTGTTCAGGCCAAGACTGATCCACAGAAAGTAATAGGGACCTTAAGATACGAGGATGGGAAGGCCAGAACGGCAACGGCGGTGGACGCGGGAAACTTTTGCGGGTCCCGTAGTGTTGCCAAAAACAAAATGCTTAAGATGTGCATTTTCGCAAAGGACGGCGACGTCAATAATTCGAACCTCGTACAAGCTATTCACAGAGGCAATGACA